AACCGTTATGTGAATAAAACTATAATACTCTCGTTAGCAACATTGTTGCGAGAGTATAAAAATGCATATTTGTAAAACAGTTCAGAGTCCCACTTTTTCATGGAATGCTTCATAAAAACGATAAAATTAATAATTTCAAAATTAAAAAGTTTTRTTTGAAATTTTGCAAGTAGGAATCAGAAAATGTAATGCYAGCTGACGATTGATTACAATGCAGATTTGACAGTTAGTGTGCCATAAACTTTCGCCTGTCGAGATGCGCCGTAACATCACCGTCATTTTCATTATCATTGTATTCGGCATCTTTGTCATCTTCGTCGCCACGTTCGACATCGAAGTTCTTTGCTACTGCGCATACTTTTCAAATTCCGAAATATGTACAGTTTCAAATAACTTTCACTGCATGACAAACTTAATACGTTACAGATTGACAACAAATCGGCAGCTCTCAAACTGTTTTYTATGTAGATCAATTTCTGAACATAGCGCTCGTCGTATCCASTAAACTCCCGTAAGCAATTTCTGTTCAGTCTATCTCTTTCTTTTTCGAAAATGAATCTCCGTAGAGCCGTTATCCAATTTCTGCAAACTCGCCATGGTGTACAATTTTATTGCGTCACTTTATTTGTTCTGTAAATCATCGGACAAACGGACGGATAGACAGACAGTCACCCAGATTTCAACTTGTCTGGTCTTATTGATCATTTATATCTWTGTGGTGGTTAAGGTGTTAATAAGTAAAACACTATTTAAACAGCTACTTAATAATTACTTTATTCACTTACAAGTAAATCCGACTTCAAATATATTATGAATATGAATATAAATGTTTTATGTTGCGTGCGACAGAATACGTATGGTTTCGTCCGATGATCAAAAGGAATAGAAAGAATTAGAGAAGCTAATGTGAGGTGATTAATATTGTAACGGGATTAAATATTAGGTTATTTTCGGCTTGCACTCACTCGAAATGTTTGTCCTGACTTTCCAGGTGCTCGGAGACAACTGACCAGCCGCTCGTTCGTTAGCTAGGAACGCCCTCTACCGAATCCAGTCGGTGCGCGCACGCTCCGAATTAAGTGACTTCTGATTGCATTTATTGTTCACAAAATATTGGCATAGTTCAAATTTGCGTGTATGCACAAAAAAGGAGTTCTCCTAAATTTGTGCTATTTACAGTTGCGCCGACCAGTAAACTTACTTTTATCTACAAAAAGCGAATTCGTCTAAATTTGTGAAATGAACATATTTTGCACAAACTCAATAAAATTTAAACTCAAAAAATTTAGAATAGCAATAAATGGAATGAAATAGTGTAACAAAAACAAATTTAGTTGTACTTATATATGGATAAWGTTTTTGCTTAATATGTAGGTATGTCCCAGCTGGCACAATTAGCCGCCAAACAAAAGTTGTAAAAAGTAAATGGGCATTGTTTGGCCTAGAAACTTATTTAAAGACATGGGGAAAGCTAAAAGAATTGGAAGCTATAGCCTTCTTAATAGAATTATATATTCTGATGACATCATTGGCAGGTACATATTCTTTGAAATTTCTGGTCAAAATGGTTGATCCAAGAATATATTAGATGACCTTTTTTTGTTTTTTTGATTACGAAACTAATACCATATTCAGACCGAAAATTTGAAAGGATTAGATTACATTGAAGCTCCTCACTATTCAGCCCGTTCTCACTGCCGTTGGAAAGATGAAAAAACAGAATTCACATCGCTTAATATTTATCGAAAGATAACATTGTCATATAGTATTTTGTCATAAAAGCCATATTCTTTTAAATATTTTCCATATAATGGATGCATTTTTTCATTTGGGAAATCGATTTTCATGTAAAATTAGATTTCTTGCTTTAAAAAAAAGTTTGTTTGTTTACATTTTTCCYCTTTGTRGTGTCTAAATCAGCTGTGATAATGTAGCATATTTATAATGCTGAAAAGTAGATGGCGCAAAAACAGAGTCTCACAGAGAGATTTAGCGTGGATCAGTTTCAAATCATTTCGATGAAGTGATTTTGAACTGTCATTTTTGTATGGCGATAAATTTATAAGATTAGTGGGATACATGGTATAATTCAATGGCATAATCTAGGTGGATTCAAATTACGCAGAAGGTAGTAGATGAACCAATCTTCACCCAAAGATTATATAGTGGTATTCAGAGTATATTTGTAAGTAAAAAGCTCTGAAAGGTAATTTCTCATGTACATTTTTGGCTGCCAATATAGCTCGATTACTAAACGTGTTATGATCCAAGTAATTATTTTTTTCTTTGCCCTGTAAATACTCTCAATCGATTACTTTTTTGTAGAAACAACAATGTAGATTTTCTGGCAGAAATAATCAATTGTCAATCAATGTGTCTTAAAAATTCGTCATAAAAATAATTAAATATTCTAACGGAAATCACAACAAATTAGTTACACAGCACCACCTTGTAATCATCGATGATGAGAAAGAGTATCTTCCCGAAATTTGGCAGGAATTATTTTCAAAAGCAACGCTATAACCTTCGAAGAAATTGCTCAGGTCGTACAACTAGAGTTTATAGCAGCCATACAAATTGGACGATAGAAATAAAGCTCTTGTATGGAAAAAAGAAAGCTTCACAAAATTAGGGGCACGATTACGATTCTWTTGGYGCCGCGATTTAAGAGTATAATCTGAAAAAGGATAATCTCTTGATTAAAAAATATACCCTTCTCAGACTTACCGTTTACGAATTATTTGTATTTAAAGTTCCTCAATTTTATATGCAATTTTTTATTTTTTTATTTTTATTTACATGACAAATACCAGTGTTGCCACATATTTTGTTTTGTTCATATTTTTTTTTGTGTCGAACTACTTTTTGCACTTGCGGCCTTCGGCCGCGCTTCTAAAAAAAGAATCCTTGTCGGTCCAACACCGGGGTGTTCATAGTTCTCTTGTGTCGAACTACTTTTTGCACTGGCGGCCTTCGGMCGCGCTTCAAAAAAAAGAATCCTTGTCGGTCCAACAYCGGGATGTTCATAGTCGTCTTGTGTCGARCTACTTTTTGCACTGGCGACCTTCGGCCGCGCTTCAAAAAAAATAACCCTGGTCGGTCCAACACCGTGGTGATCATAGTTCTTTTTGGTTGAACTACTTTATGCACTAGCGGCCTTCGGCCGCGCTTTAAAAAAAAAAAAACCCTTCTCGGTCCAACACCGGGGTGTTCATAGTTCTTTTGGGTCGAACTACTTTCTACCTTTGGCCGCGCCTATATTAACCAAAAGGATAGAAATACTTAAAAACTTTGCATTCTATAAATTTTTTCTATTTATTATAATGCTATTACATATACACATATACATATATATATATATATATTTCTTTGAAAATTTATTTTATATTCAGACTTTTAAATTGTCAAATATGAAATAGAAAAATGTTTGATTATATTTTCAGGACACAAAGTATAGCAACACTGCTATTTRTCATAAATGTAAATACACAAATCTCTAGAAAGTTTGAATGTGCAAAATAGTTTTTAAAATATATTTATTATCTTAAAACATACAAAACTAGTGTAAATTTTTTTTATATTTGAATGTATACAGTGTAATTAAATATATATTAATTAAAAAATGTGTGAAAAGTGGGTTGAACATATTGAAATAACGAGGATTAAACATAAACATAAATATATCGTAAACAATGAGTCTGAGGAGGGTATATGTGTATACATTTTTTAATCCTGAGGACCTCCTCTATCCATCCGTATCATCAAATCGTGGCGCCAAAAGAATCGTAATATTGCCAAATTAGGCATGGATTACTGTGTAAAGCTTCAATCTCCGAAAACATTTTTGAGATCGGATCACTATAGCATATAACGGACATGCAAACTGAACGATCAAGTTCAAGTTGTTAAATAGAAAGAAATTGAACGTTTTAAGTTTTCTTGTGTGCGTCCGAATAAATTACAAAGGGGATAGTTTAATTGCTTTATTTTTTTGACAAATATAAATCAAATAAACTCTTTCACTAACCTTAAAGGTGTTATACAATCAAGTTGTGTACAAACTCCATCCTCGCTTACATTTCCCGCAAAGTGAACTTTAGCTTTGGTAAATATCTCACACTCACCCAGATGATTGGGTATATCAAAACAGGCACTACACAGTGGCCAATCACACCTTTCACAACGATCCAACGAATCACCATCTTCACCGAAAAATAAATCACGATAACAACCCAGACAAACAATACCGCTGTTCTGTTTGGGGCCAATCGCGAATGGATACTCCTCTACCACCATTTCACCCTTCTTTACAATTTCTGTAGTCACTAATGAACGACCCATTAGTGGATCCTCTACGATACGCCATTTAAACATAATTTCGGCTGCTCCGCTTTGGGGAGTATATATTAAAGATAATTCGTATAACTCAATTATTATTGATTTTCTAAATCGCAATATCAATTTTTATGTAATAGAAAATTTTAAAGTTGTAATCAAAAATAATAATTATATTGTTTTGGTATATTGAACCAATTTGTTCATTTTTAAAAAATCTCTCAACGAAAATATTAATAAAGTGTAATTGCTTGTATTAACTGATAGATGTGTTTCCTTGATTAAATACACTTTTCGATTAATACTTTTCTCAGGGAAAATACTCAGTGATGGGTTTTATATGTTAATAGTATTGCAACGATGTCATGTAACTGTGTATGTTTCTACAGAATTTTATTTTTAGTTTTGGTGTTTTGTGCACACATGAACTGTAGCCTAAATCGAGTCCGTTCTCTCTGCAACTAAATTTTACAAAAAAAGATGTTCATTAATTTATTTTTAAGTTTTACATCTACTATATATAATGTTCCTGCAAGAAATTTACTTTTCTGTTGATTTGAACAAAATTTTTTTTTTTTCACAATTTAGGAACTTATACATGCACACCTGCAAAGTAGTTAAAAGCGAATTATAGTGGTGACCGTTAAGACCGTTGTGTAAGTTTAATTTACGTTAGTGTTCATGTCATTTTCTATATTTAAATGTCACTAGAAATTTCTAGCATATTTTCCGAAAAGAAAAGTAAGTGAAAGTAAACACAACAAAGAAGAGGAGCGGAATTCACAAATATACATATTTTAATATATACATATATCACCACCTCAAAGTAAAGGTGTATACGGCAATTGTAAACATATATCCGTACTTGTATGTACATATTTGCTTTACATTTGACATTCAGAAAAAGCATAAATCATGATAGCTTTACGTTGCAAATTTAACTTGAAACATGTAATAATGTATATCGTCACTTGAAATACAAAACAACGTATCCACATTTTCGGAAATTTACAGTGGCATGAATTAAACGCGACATGAAATGGAACATGAGTGAACAAAATTTATAATATTGGTTAAAACTGGTTTATATCTGAGCGCAGAACCTAAAAATGTCCGACATAAATATGTAATATTATATATGTATGTAATTTGAAGTAATGAATCATAATTAATAAGACACTCAAATTAGAATTTTTTGATGATACGTTATTTTGCATTTCAGGGGACGATATGTACTCTTCAAAAAAAATTATAATTATATTTGTTAAAAGAAATTTCGATATGGTTATATTACTTTGACCACTTATTCTGGAAAATAGATGTTAAGTTGCTTTGCAAATAATAACCGACCGACATATTCAGCATAAAACTTGTTAGAACAAGTAAGGAAGGGCTAAKTTCGGGTGTCACCGAACATTTTATACTCTCGCATKATAAAGTGATAATCAAGATTTCAGGCGTGGTTGTGAACCGATTTCACCCATATTCGGTACATGTCATCAGGGTGTTAAGAAAATATTATATACCGAATTTGATTGAAATCGGTCGAGAACTTCCTGAGATATGGTTTTTGGTCCACGCCCATTTTCAATTAAAAAAAAAAGCCTGGATGCAGTTTCSTTCTGATATTTTTTCCGTAAAATTTAGTGTTTCTGACGTTTTTTGTTAGTCAGTTAACGCACTTTTAGTGATTTTCAACATAACCTTTGTATGGGAGGTGGACGTGGTTATTATCCGATTTCTTCCATTTTTGAACTGTATATGGAAATGCGTAAAAGAAACGACTCTATACAGTTTGGATGACATAGCTATAGTAGTTTTCGAGATATGTACAAAAAAGTTTGTAGGGGGCGGGGCCATGCCCACTTTTCCAAAAAAATTACGTTCAAATATGTCCCTCCCTAATGCGATCTTTTAACTTTCATTTTAATATCTTTATTTATGGCTTAGTTATGACACTTTATAGTGGGCCGATTTTGCCCATTTTCGAACTTAGCCAAGAAATATGTGTACCAAGTTTCATCACGATACCTCAATTTTTACTCAAGTTACAGCTTGCACGGACGGACGAACAGACGGGCAGACCTGATCACTTTTGTATATAAGTTAAGATAACCAAGGCAAATATAATGTTTACCACACTCGTTAACGAACTTAAGTAACCAGGTCAAATCTTTCGTTTTACCTAAGGGTTAAGATCCTATAAAAAAKTATAAATCAACAATTATAAAATGATGCGCGGCCTGCGTGCGTGGCATTCGCTGATTAGCCAGCATCACAAAAATACAACAAAACGGTCTTTTAGTAACAGTCGGATGTTCCCGCCAAAACAGGCGTCCTACCAAAGCAACAACACACCKTAAACTACTCCATCTAACAACAACTCCTAAGTTCGACTGGCCACGARTAAAATAACAACAACGCAGAGAAGAGGCTGAGCTTAGGCTAAGAGTAATGAAACCAAATTGTAAAAATTTAATTAGTAATCAGCAATAAAGCGAGCAACATCGCCATAAGTAARAACCTGCATTCTAATTAATTGGCGCCCAACGTGGGGCTTTTAAAGGACCTCCAGCAACTGGATAATCCAAGAAAATAGAAGAGAACCCCGCATCCTGATGAAACGAAGATCCTGAGGAATATTAATAATTTTGCATATAATTAAAACTTGTTCTGTAAGTAATAATTCAAATCATTCAATCATCATAAAAAAGTGAAAAAATTGTAAAGTGAAATTATTTGTGCAGTGAAATATTCACTTATTGAAAACCACATTCTACGTGAAATAAATTTGTGAAAAGAGAATATTGCCCCCTTAAAAATAAATATTTCAAAATAAAATAATAAAAAGAAAAACCTGTTTATTAAATTTGCTTTTTGTTCTAAGATAACCTCTTTTGCATGATAAATTGCACGTGGTGGAAGGCTGTTTTTAGTTGAAATTGTGTCATTTTTTTAAGTCTTTGCTTTATTTTCCCATCCAGTGAATCGTTTTTTTCTTTGAAACGGCCGCTTTCTCCAACCGCAAAAAAAAAAAAAAAAATAATAATAATAATAACTACATACTAAAAACTGCAATAATTCGCAAGTAATTTTGTTTAGAAATTAATAATTAAATATTTTTCTTACGAAAAATCCATTTGCTTTAATACCAATATGAGTATAAGTAGGGAGCAGGTGCTTGAGATAGTAAATGTCGTTACTGAGCGCACTAGACAAGCATTTGCTGAGCAGATAAGCCAAGTCACTTTAGCGCTAAATCAATTAGCTCCTCCCACTGCTGAGACTTATACGCCAGTATCTATCAATCCCTTTATTCCGGATAATAGCGCAAGTTTGGATTTAATAAAATCCCTACCTGAATTCAAAGGAGATT